TGATCCTGTGCAGACAAGGGGTTAAACTCAGCTACTTGTTTGCATTTATTAAGATGTCTACATGAAAATGTAAACTCCTGAAGCAATTTCCTCCCAAGTCTCAGTTTTGCATCGTAAGTGTGTGGTGCAGGTTACCTAAATATTTTATCTCAACTAGGTGAAGTCTTGTAATAAACCACTCCCTTATTTCATCACCCCTGACTAAAGCAGTAAAAAGGTGCAATGATAATAAGATCTAAGCAATACAGCACAAATAGTAAAGGGTATGACTGATGGCACCTCACTGCTTCAGACAGTGTTTTGGATTTTTTTAATTAAGGTCCCATGCTGTTGGTTTAATCTGTTCTCCTTGACTGAGAGAGCCGGATGGAGCGTGTTTTGCTGTGAGAGGCCAGATACACCAGATTTTGAAAACCTGTGATAAAAAGGTGCCACAAAACAAAGTAGTTTAAAAAGATACTATTTAGTGTCTTAGTTTCAACAAAATCTGAGTTGAGGATGGAGTGGCAATGATAACACATAGGTATACTTAAAAGGTGGCACTGTGCTGTGCAACATCCAAAGTGCTTCAGCCCTGCACTAAAAGGCATTTGCTGCTCAAGGTTTATGCTCTCCTGTGAAAATGCACACGTGCATTAATGCTGGACCCATTTATATACCTTGTTGCCATTGAAAGGGAACCCAGACTCACTTTCCCTTTCCTCATACTGGAATTCTGAATTCACTGAGATTTCATAACTAACTCGAGCAAAAACCTCCAAATAATCCAAAATGGTTTTCTGTAAGCTGAACTGGCTTGAACTGCAATCAGTCAAGGTCTAGACACACTAAGAGTAAACGGATGGGACAACAGAGCTGAGCAGAAGAATTTGAGGGCAAGACCGGCCTTTCAGGCAGCAACGATGCAATGTATCATTGCACATGTAACATCTAACCTTAGCTACAGCCTATTTAAAAGCTGGAATACCTTAGCTTCCCAACACTGGGATTCAGAAAACTTGATGCAGGCATTCAAGTTTCTTTATACAAAAGACATGGTCCTTGCCCAGAGTGTCTGAACTCCTACCTTTGCTAGAGCTCAGGCTACAAAATGGTGCAGCAGCCACAGCATTTAGCCCAGCCGCAAAGAACATAAACTCAGCATCACCAAGAATGTTCAAAACCATCCCGCACCCCTCACCCTCAAAGCCCTGGGAAACAGCTCTTACCACTTTACTTTGTACAAAAGGAAAAGGTTCATTCTTCCTCTTAAACTTAGACAGGAGAAAAGAAATAAAATAAGACTAACAGGAGACAGGAAAAACACAAAACTGGGAAGGCTGAGCAATTTGGCTGTCACCCCACTGAATGTAGCATTACTTTCTAGTCCTAGCAGCCAGGACCATTTACACGTTTTTTTCCTAGACCTGTAATGGGATAAAAAAATCGAAAGAATGGATTGAAACAAAGCCACAACCTATAACTTCTTCCTCCCAACTTCAACAGCTAGGCTGCTGCTGTATTCCCGCTCAGGAATCTGTCATCTTTTACTTGGCTCCTGAACTCGCCAGCAGCCAGGTCATGTGATCCCAAACCCTCTCAGGCTGAACGCAGGTCTTCTGCTTTGTGAATTAATGCTCTAATCAGCAGGCCAAGTAATTTCTTACGAGTCCACTGCACATTATGAATGCGCACAGACCTCTGTACACACAAGGTAAGCTCCAAGCTGGTCTTCTCAGGGAACCTCTGCCAACTGCTGGACCCTGTTCAAGCCCAGAGACAAACTGGAGGCTGAAATGCGCAGGCTGAGGGTTCACCGACTGGTGTTTCACAATTGGCTTGCACTGCCCTTTGCTGGTGCAGCTTCTCATTGGTTCCATCAACTTCTCCACCTCCAGTTTCTCTGTCCCTCTCCCACCCGTGTGTGCCAAGGGTGTGCAGTCACTTGGATCAGCCAGCCAATAATGTTGAAAAACTAACACTACAACAGTAACTAACCCAATAAAGTAAACATACACATATATATATATATATATATGCACATATGAAGGAAATACTTTTCTGCCAGTTTAGTGAGCTCAACTAAGTCACTGAGGGATGAAATGATCACTGCAGAGTGTACAAGAGAAGCAGCAGAGAGTAAATAGAACTTGTATTTGCTGCACCAAACTGCTCATCGGCTCAGCTGTCCTGTGCACTGCACCCTCCGATCATCCTGATTGACTTAAAGACCATAACGCAATTAATTGCAAATGCTGCTTCACAGTTGACCTCCCCACCCAAGTGCTCGTTCCTACCTCCTGCCCCAGCCTGTTGACGGTCACAGGGCGAGTTGGAGCGGAGAATGAAATAAGAGTGGGGAAGAGGAAGAGATCTACATCTCTCTGCACTTTTTTCCTGTGTGGATCAGTTTCCAGAGGGAATGCACCATGCCAATTGTGCAGCAGCTCTGCTGGTGCAACATAAGGCACAAAACCAAACTGTCATAGCACCTAAACTGGTAGTGGCCAACCCATGATGACAGAACTGCAAGTTTAGGCTAGGGCAGCATTAGGCTAATCTTGAAGGAGAACAACGTGGCCTTAAGAGAACATTTAATTTCCTCAGGCTGCAATATCATGAAGAGTTTCCCAAGGACTTCAGAGACCTTAGGTGACAGTTATGAGTTTTAGAGATTTGCATTTAAATAAGCTTATTTTGCTCATGTATTTTATCTAGGACTAATTCCTGGCTCTCACCTGTCCACACAGTGTGGTGTATCAGCTTTATAAAAAAAAAACCCAACCAAATACCAAGAGGAGTCATTATTATCTGTGTTTCACCCCTGCAGCAACCAGAGCATCACTCTAAAGGCCTGAACTGAATCAGAGCTGAGAATAGCACATACCTCTTTCATACCCTGAACTGAGGATCTGCAGGGTAGGCATCTTGCCTTCCAGTACGATCCTCCGAACAGCTAGACTGTTTGTTTCCTAGGCAAAATGTTATTGCAGGCTTCACTGATAAAAGTAAATGGACCTTAAAAGTTTTACCATCTACCCCAATGTACTAACTTTTGACATACCAAGCTCTGTGCAGGAAACTGGAAGTACTGTGTGCCTTTGACTATTAACGCCTCAGCAGAAGCTCCCGGGTGAGGGCCAGAATGAAAAAGAGGGCAGAGAAATGCCCTTCTTGTGTTACTACTTCAGTTATACACACAGCATAGTGAAAAAAGTATTAACTCTGCTCATTAATTTCAAGTATCTACTAAACAGATTAAAAAAAAAAAAAAGTTAAAGTTGGTAAGCCCCCCATTTCGCAAACATAAGGGAAAGAATCCAAGTGAGTCAAAGTCCAAAAGAAAGGAGGTTATAAGTTTAATATTTACTTTAAAGCAAATATTTCACCACTTTTTC